CGTATCTTTAGATTCCCCTCTGCTGTTTATCAGGTTACAAGAAAGAATAGTCAACCTTAGTTTTCAGAGAGGTACGTTGGTGAGAGAATGTTGCTTCTCGGAAGAGAGGGACTTCATTGCTCCCTCCCTGGAGCGCCTGTTCCTGGTGGTGGCTCCACTAGCTTGTCTGTCTTCTGATGGCCTTGTCTGTCTTCTGCGCCTCTGTCCAGCTGGCCTCGCCTCCTCCCTACCCTTCCTCCAGATCTGCCCGCTCCTTGAGGGCGCGCACAGAAGATGCCGCTGTCTCGCTTGGGCAGGAAAGGGCTCTGTTGGAAGGAGATGGGGGACTCGGACAGACCAGAGGCTGGAGGGCCAGAGGGACAGGAACCGGAAACATCACAGATCTACAGGTTTTTTTTTTCAAAGCCGAAGGAGCTGGTCCAGCCCACGGCAGTGGTAGGGTCCTGGACTGGGCGTCGTCACAGCTGCTTCCTCTTGGGCAAGCTCGGGACGACAGTGTCTCTCTGTCCCAGTTCTTACTGATTTATTGCCTCTCACCTCCACATCCACCTTTTTTTGGCCCCTCTTTTATTTTTTTATTTTTATTTTTATTTTATTTTATTTTAATTTTTTTAACGTTTATTTATTTTTGGGACAGAGAGAGACGGAGCATGAACTGGGGAGGGGCAGAGAGAGAGGGAGACACAGAATCGGAAGCAGGCTCCAGGCTCTGAGCCATCAGCCCAGAGCCTGATGCGGGGCTCGAACCCCCGGACCGCGAGATCGTGACCTGAGCTGAAGCCGGGCGCTTAACCGACTGAGCCACCCAAGCGCCCCTGGCCCCTCTTTTAGACTCGGGAGCTGGACCCTGAGAACATTCCTCCTTTGCCAGCGGGTGCAGGGTTAGCCTTCCCAGGGGAAGGGGCCTCCTGTTTCTGGTGTGTTATCTTCCGTCTACACGGAGCTGAGGCAGTGGCAGTGCTTGGGAGGCTGGCGGTGCTCGCTCTCTCGGGAGATTTCTTGAGCTTTCTTGGTCTCCAAGTAGGAAGCGTGCAGCTCCCGGCACTGCGGTGAAATTCCCCACCAGCCAACGGGGGCGGCCAGCCTCCCCCTTGGTGCTGGTGGGGGCCCCTCCAGGTTCTTGGTTCGCTGCTGGGCTCCTCTGCAGAGAGGGGAGCGGAGGCAGGGAGGGGGTGGGAACCCGGGCCTTGCATCTGCTCTTCCTGCTTTTCTGAGTTCTCTTTGGGTTCTCGTTTAGCGTCAGCTGGTTAATCCTTTATACTACATTTTCTCCGTTCAGATCATTCAGATTACCGGTGTGGCTTGTGTCCCGCCTGGACCCTGACTGATGCAACCCTGTTCACAAAGCTTCTGTAGTGGGAGGCAGGGCGCGGCTGCCCCCCAGAGCCACTCACAAGTGGGGATTTCCTTCGGTAGAGGCTGGAGGTTGGACAGCCAAGGAAAGATACCACCCCACCATGTCTCCACGTGCTCTATTCGGGTCTGCCCCAGATGCCCACTCTCCCCAGGTCCCTGCACAGGCTGTCAGCTCTCCCGTGGGCCCCCAGCGTGTGCCCCCACCGCCACTCCCCCTTCCTTCTGTGACCCCGTCCCTCTCACCCAGGGGACTCTGCTTTGCTGTGCTCCGCCACAAAGGAACGGTTACGCTGTTTTGCTCTTGCCTGCTGCTCTGATGCCCGCAGGGTAATCCCCCTGGGGGCAGACAACCTGTTCTTTTCTCTTTGGACCCTGAGCACACGGCGGGTGCTCAGTGTGTGTCTGTTGCACGACCTCATTAGTTACCGAATTTGTAATTTTGTGGGGAGCGCACGAGGCTCCATTTGCCTTGGGGCGTGCGCGCACCCCTTACGGTACTCGTGAGGAGACCCTTGTGTGTAACCGAGCGGGTTGGTGTGCATAAACGGACCAACTCAGTTCATTTTCATTTCCCAGGGAAGTACCTTTCCCCCCGCAAGTCACTGAAGATAAAATGATAGTAAGTCAGAATTTGCCCTCTCTGGAAGGTGAGGGTCTGGGAGGAGCCCGGGGGGGAGGCAGAGAGTGTGTCACCGGTTGAATTGTGTCCCTCTCCCCCTACATTCCTGTGTTGAAGTCCTACCCCCCCAGTAGGACTGGAAACGGGACCTTATTTGGAAATAGGGTTGTTGTAGACGTGGTTAGTCAAGATGAGGCCATACCCGAGTAGATCAGGCCGCTCATCCAGTGTGACTGGTGTCCCTATAAAAAAGGGGAATCACACACACACCCGCCAGGTGCTCATATAAAAAAGGGGAAACACACACACACACACACACACACCCCCTCCAGGTGCTCGTATAAAAAAGGGGAATCATACACACACACACACACACACACACACACACCTGCCAGGTGCTCGTATAAAAAAGGGGAAACACACACACACACACACACCCCGCCAGGTGCTCCAGCCGCGCCGAGGACCCACTAGAAGCCCAGGTGCTCATATAAAAAAGGGAAACACACACACACACACACACACACACACACACACACACACCCGCGCCAGGTGCTCCAGCCGCGCCGAGGACCCATTAGAAGCCCAGGTGCTCGTATAAAAAAGGGGAAACACACACACACACACACACACACCAGGTGCTCGTATAAAAAAGGGGAATCACACACACACACACACACACACACACACACACACACACAC